AATAAAGATTATTTCATTACGAACACGGTGGTATAGGGTTGTCTGCGAAAAATCAGTCCTGAATTCCGGTTGTCGAGTTTTAAAAAGTGAAATATTGCTGCGAGTGAATACGTGCGACAGAGAGGACACAGCATTGCAGCTGTCAATACTTATAAAAATATGTTCAACAAACGCAACAGAAATACATTTAATTTTTTATCGCTACTTATCACCGTCAATCAAAGATTCCGAACGTGAAAGCCGAAAAGAATTCGATATTCCGTACAAAATTTCGGGACATCAACAAACCAGACCTAAAATTTTTTTGCAAAGCCTTAAAAATTATCGTTTCAGAGGCTTTGGTGCTGTTTCTGGCAGATTATTGGGAAAACAACCATGTGGTTGGTTACAATAATCCAAAACAAAAAAATATTTTTTAACCGTCGACCATCAGTGCTACTCTTATCAAGTTCAGCAAAATTCCATAAAAAAACTGAAGAAATTAATTATTATGAATGTCATCACGAAGAGGCAGATACGAGGATTATTTTTCATGCTTATAAAGCTAAACCAGGCTCAAGAATTTTAATTAAAGCCTCTGATACTGATGTTTTGATTATTTTGTTAGGAAATATGCACAAAATTTCTGAATCAGAAATTTGGCTTGCCAGTTCAGCAACAAAAAAGACTAATAACCAACCTGTTGATTGCATTAATTGCACCGATTTAGCGTTGAAGTTAGGATTCAAATTATGCCAGTCTTCCCGCCTTCCATGCGTTTAGGTTGCGATTACACGGCAGCATTTCACAATAAAGGAAAAGTAAAACCTTTTAAGTTATTTTCAAAAAATGAAAGATATCAAACAGTTTTTGCGTCATTATCACATGAAGCCGATATTTTCATTGACGAAAAAATGAACACCGTTCAAAAATTTACTGCTAGTATGTATGGCATCAAGAACTGCACCAAAGTGAATAAAAAATTACTCTGCTAAAGAAGACAGCGCGCAGTTTTTAAAAAGAATAAATGGCTTTGACTCCAACTCTATACCACCAGCCATCTATATACCATATCATTGACTCAAAAAAATTTACGAACTATTTTCGTAAATTCCATGCAACGGATCCGGTATGCGTGAAACTTCAGCCTGAGAACTGCAGTTGGTTCTTAGATGAATATTTAAAACCAGGGAGGGTTCATTGGGGATCATACACCTTTAAGGATAGAATACATTGTCCAAACAACTGATACAGAAAGCAATGACGAAGAATAAACATGACACCACCCCCGGGGTTTACACAGACGAGCCGGCGAAGCAAGAAGAGCGCCAGAAGAAAGGGCCCTAGCCGGCGGGGCCCAGCCAGGACAAAATGAGGTCCCACAAAGCGCCTACACCGGCCGCATTTGCGGTCGGGGTAGACGACGGAAGTCAGAAGCCAGAAAATCATCATCTAAATCACTCCTAAAATAGATTATGAACACAAAATATAGAGGTTATAAGTATAATAACACTATGATTTTGTGTATTCAATGCGCATGCTTCAAGAAAATTTCCTTCTAGTTCCTGTTCAGGACCCAGGTACCGATTTTACGGGTTCTGAATCAGTTCAGAACTATATGTATAGTTCGATCATTGTTGGAACGCTGTAAGTACTTCTGCCAGAATCAGTTCTATATCGGTTGGCACGCGAATTTCGTTCTGCGCATAGACACCAACTTTTTGACCCCCGGTGACCACCCCAACGACACCCCCCATACCCTCCTTACCACTCCCCTCCCGCGCTAGCTTAAGGGCCACCTTAGCAAAGCGCATCCCAGGCTGCATAGCCGCACTACCCTACCCAACCACTAAGTGAAAAGTTGAAAAGTACATGCAAAAAACAGGCCTCTGGGCGTTTATCATGATTTGGTAATGCAAATGAGATGAGATTACATGACACTACTAAGTATTTTAATTACTTGCGAATGACGGAACTGGCCGGACTGCACATGCGCAGTTTGTTAAAATTATTGCGATAATCGCCAAAAATAGAAACCGTTTCTATTTTCCCACCCCCTATATTTAAATTTTGCAATTCCCGCAATATATTGAAATGAAGAAATGGATGTCAAAAATATTTTATTTCACCAATCAAATTGAAATCCGCAAATCGCAAATCGCTACTGCATGAACTTACCTCAAGAGCGTTTTGGACAAAACTTTGTAGTACTCGTGGCAAGCTTTACATCATAGCAGTGCGCACTACACGTGCATAATGCATATAAATCGAATTTGTCATTATTGACCCGGGATGGTCGGGGTAGACGATGGACGGGGCTCACCTTCACCAGGCTGCCCAGGCTTACAGAGATAAGGCAGGACAAAGAGGGATAGTCCCCCTCGATCCCAAATTATCGAGGCCACCTTTAACGCCAAAAAACAACGGCGCGGCGCGACCGTCGACGCGTTCTCATACTAAAGCACAGACCTGTTAAAAGTGAAAAAGTGAGGCCTCCCTGTTACTTATAATAGCCGTGTTTTCTTTTTTTTATATGACTATGAGTATGAAGTAGAAGGTAGATGGCACCACACGTGAATTTTGTGACTGTTTGAATTGGTTATGTAAATTTATCGATTAATAAATTGTACCAAGAATTGACTATTTAAATAAATAACTCGAAATTGGATATTGGTGTGAAATATAGTCATTGAAAATAGTATTGTATAATAAAAACGTATATTGATTTATGTTACGAATGTAAATATTCGTATTGTTCACTAATTAAGTAAAGGAATTTGTTTTCTAAAATGTTTAAATAAGCAAGGGTTGTTAACGTAACAAATAATGCTCTGTTGTGTTGTGTCTGAAATATATCAGTTACCTCGGGTGTCTTAATATTGGTTATGTTATACTCATAATTAAACAATTTCAGAGAAAAAGTCATGAATAGGCATAAAAGTTGTAAAGGTAGGTAGATATTTATAATTACCTGTCATCAAATTATATTCCACAATTTTTTAGATTCTCGAAATGCAAATACAGTTGGACGAGCTCGTTCAACACTTAGTGTTTCAGCTGTAGATTATTACTTAAATTTGCCTGTTACTTGTCCTCCTTCTCCAGCTGTTTCTACAGTAACTTTAACACCTGGTCGATTAAGAAATATTGACCAGGACATGGAAAATTTGAGGGCATCTCGACAGGATAATCCGTTTATACAGGTTAGCAATAAATAATATAAACTTAAAAAATATAGATATATATAAACTTTCTATATAGTGTTCTATAATAAGATCAATTATCTTTCTTTCAATATACGAATCAATATAATATGACATAAATGGGGGTCATAACATGACACATATTCAGGGAGGCTCATAATTTGGAAAGCATGCATGCTTACAATTTGAAATTTACATGTAGATACTTTTACATTTGATACTATTAGGGCAGGTTCAAAATTTGAATGTAATTTCACATTGTTCTTATGTGAATAAAAACTTGCATTTAAAATATTAAATTGTAATAGCAAAAGTAAAGGAAAATACGAGGGAAAATATATATTTTTTTATTGCATGAATAAAAAGTTGAATTATAGAATAGTATTTGTATATCTTAGCTATCAATGTTTGTAGCTGCTAATCATCATGGCAAATAAATGAATCGGATAATTTGTTAACACATTCATAATTTTAGATGTGATATATATCTTTGTTTATATCTGTATTCTATTTTAATTTATTCATAAACCATTTCTTACTTTTTTACATATTTTTCATTCTTGTAGCAAGTTATTGCCAGTAGAGAAAGTTTAATAGATAGCTTAGATACGGAGGAAGAATCTGATCATGCAAATTTAATGTCTAAGGTAAGAAATAACAAATGACCTTTAAATTTATTTTATAATTTGGTGTGTATATTTTTAAATCATTTCATCATTGATGCAAATGTTCTTTCAGTCAAGCATACTAAAGATAGTTTTAAAAATTGGCCGAGGATTCTGTTTTATTAAGCATGATTTTGTAAACCCATTTATTTTAATAATATAAATTGGATTATTCAAACAAGACTAGTTTAATTTCAAGACGATATACTTTATCTCAATTGGCATAGGAAAGAACATCCATATACTTATAATCTATTAGCAGAAATAATAGTTTCATTTCTTTTTAGGTATTTTTAAAATAAAAATAATCCTATTGATATATTATCTAAAGTTTTTCAAGTGTATGTTAATGGTAAAATTTTAATGAAATTAATACATGTTAAAATGGAAAAAAATCACTAAAAAAATTGTTTAATTTGCAATTATTCCATAATAATTTTTAGAGAATGTCATCCCACTAGTTAATTAGTTAAATTTAAATATCTGTTAGATGTTACTGTTTTATACAATATTATTGGTTAATTTAGTAAGGTAATCAATTTGTTTGAATAATGGCCGTGGTATGTGGCTCTATTGCTGTATTATACCATGACTAGATTTTTTCCCCATTTGATGCATGGTGCAGTTATTGTTTTCTTTTTTGAGTTCTTAATTTTACATTTATAGAATTCAAATATAGTAATCAAATAATTTATTAACTTATTTACACTTATTTGAGTCTGTTTTTAATAGATGTACAGGTTGCTGCTATATTTTACTGATAATATTGTACATTATCATTCACATAACATTCTTCCCCCATTATCAAGGAAAAAATGTAATAAATAGTAATGGTAAATGCATAATTTGTCATATGTGCGGCCCTTGATCGCAATGCCTCATAGGTCCTAATCAGTGGCGACGCTAGGGGGGGGGGGGAAGGAGTGGCCCAGGCCACTCCTAAAAATTTATCGGCCATCCCTAAAAATTTATCGGCCACCCCTAAAAATTTATCGGCCACCCCTAAATTACAAAAGTAACTGTCAAAATGTTGGCCAGGGACGAAAATAAAAATATCAAATCGATGTTAGACCTATGTAAACTAGGTATTACATAATTTTTATCCAGCTTTCGAAAATCTATTAACCTTAACAAAAACTGCTTTTACATTGCCAGTTTCTACCGCAAGCTGTGAAAGATCGTTTTTGTGCTTAAAAAGAATAAAAACCTACCTTCGGACAACGATGGTTAATGGTAGGTTGTCTAATATTTCTATTGAAAAGGAAAAAGCCACAACACTTGACCTTGATTGCATTGTAGATACATTTGTTCAAAATCATAATAACAGACGAATTTTGCTGATATAATAAAAATGTGTTATTTTTTTAAATACGTTAAGTTTATTCAAGCTTAAAATTGTTTTATACTAAAGATAACTCTTTAAAAGTATCAGAAATATTGTTAAATCAGAATAATTACATCTTTTTTATTATTAGATTAAGCAGTAATAAAGATAAATTAATATTTATCACAGTTAGATATATTGTATTCTTGACCACCCTTTTAAAGTTATTGGCCACCCTCTGGCCACCCCTTTTATGTTAAACTGGCGACGCCACTGATCCTAATGACCTAAGTACAACTTTCAAAATTTGTCAAGCTTTACTTCGACTTACCTAATACCGTAGTTTACAAAACCAATGGTCATAATATGTGCTTTGAAAACTTGCACAGTGGTTTATTTACTGATCCTGAACATAGACAAGATTGATATGGAACTAGTGGGTTGGTATGTTTCCTGCTGTCAAATTTACTAAAGAAATGTTTAATATCTCTATTAACAAAAAATATAAAAGGAAAGTTTTATGGTTTGATGGGATCATATGATGATGACCTTGACCTAGAAGTCAAGCTTGAAGGTTCTTTGACGGTCAAGTCAAGGTACAAAATAGGAGAACCCTGTTTGCAGACCCATCAAGGAAATATTGTTATGGTCCAGCCAGTCAAGGCAAGATTGCTATGACCCAGAAAGTCTATGCAAGGTCACTATGACCCGGCCAGTCGAGACAAGGTCACTATGACTTGTCGAAACGATCTTGCTTTGACTGGCTGTGTTATAGTGATCTCGTCTAGACTGTCTGTCTGTCTTAATGCTGCTGCAAACTGGGTTCTCCTGTCTCGTAACTTAATTTCAAAGAACCTTCAAGCTTGACCTCTAAGTCACGGTCAAGGTCATTATTGTATGATCTCATCCTTTGAATCTTTGTCATAAGTATTTTCCCGAAAAATTGATTGATTTGATCCTAAAATAACTTGTTAAAGTCACCTTGACCCATAACATAAAGACATATCTGAACGTAAAATTTTCCGGTCTATCCATTTCTCAGAAATATATTTATCATATCTACAGATCCAATTTGACCTTCAAATGACCTCTACGACAGACCTTTGGGTCAAGGTCACCATCAAATGTCCTCCTAAGAACCCTACAACTTTGGTCTAAAAAGTTTTTCTTGAAAGTGCTTCGCAAAGAAGATATTGCAATGCATTATTTAAAATAGGACACTGTATATTCCAAGCAAGTTTTTTTATATACGCTTATTATCTACCCCATTGATAGTATTAACTTCATTCAATGTAGTCTTCCTTAGGTCATATAAATTATTAGTTCATTTACCTTTCAGAAGCCACCATAGAAAGAACTGCATAAATGTTAAAATAGGACTTCGTGTGGATCATAATATTACACCTTCATAAGAAAAATTTACTTAAAAATATAAGAGCAAAAACGTAAATATGCATTAGTTCCATGGCAATCTTGACTTTATCCATTGTGAAGGGTCATTATATAAATTATTAAAATATAATATAAAGGTGTCAAAGCAAATATATGACATGTATACTGGACTAAAAGTAGAAAAATTAGAGAATTCCGAAAAATGACAAATATTCCAATTGAAAAAAAAAACAGAAGTTTGGTTTATATCTCTGAATGCAATGCAATTTTTTTTTTATACAAGGTGATTCACATCTTATCCAAAAAAATTTGGGAATAGATGCAGCATGAGAAATGGAATCAGTATTGTAAAAAAATTTTTTGTAAAATCCTTATAGTTTGCGAGAAAAAAAATATTGAAGTTATAGTACATTCAACCACTAGATAGCTGGACAACTGTAGCCTCTAGCATCATTCGCCACGTGGCCTCAGCGACTCCGAATACTGAAATCGGATTTTGCAATTGTCGTTGCGATAGTATTTACCCGTTAACTCTGGTGTTTACAAAAGGTTTTTAGTAGTTAGTGTCAAAAATGGGTAGTTAGTGTCAAAAATGGTTTGCATGTAGGTATAGCAACTCGGAGTTGCAAGACTTTTAAAATTCGATTATTTCGAAAACCATTAAGTTTAGAGGTTGTTAACAAGTATACATTTTTGTTCTTACAATGCCGTGCCTTTAATATTTTTTTCCCAAAAGAGCGCTACCTTGATGGACAAAAAAGTTTTGCGTACATTTATGTCACACATGTGGCTTATGTGGCGCCCTCTAAAAGATACATTAGATTAGATACCAAATTATGTTTTCTCATACCAAAAAACCCCCAGTTAAAAATTTTTTTGTATAAATGCCCAAAAATGTTAGTTACTGCGAAAAATAAATTTTGAAATTTCACTTTTAACACCCTGTATCTTTCTTATTATCAATATTTTATTAAGGCAAGTTGGCTCAAATCGTAATATTTTAAAGTAACAAATCTACCATACTTCTCTGTACAATTACTTAAGGACTAATTACTATAGTTATTGTTTAGCTCACCCTATATCTGAAATTTGTATTACGAATTAAATAAAGGTAAAAAAATATTTCGATATAGGTTTATACATAAATATTCAGTTTTTTAAACTTTTATCAGTACTAATTATGAGGCAAACACCCAGTATTTAGTTTGGTAATTTTTTATTTTTGTACCATACCTAACTTTTTTTTATTGTTATAGATATTTAACTTTCGCTTGACAGAATTGTGAATTATAACTGGTCATTGCAATTGCTTTTTGGTAAAATAAAGAAATCTCTTGCAGTATAGTGTTTAGTGCAAGAGAGAATTCTTCAAACTATCAAAAAAATGTATTTTTAAATAACTTTCAAATGGTTTTCTTAAGGTTTTAAGTGTATGCAAACATTCTAATATTTCGAATGTATTTGCTTTGATGACCATTTTAATTTTCTTTGATCTGAAGGAAAATTCTGATAATTTATGTATTTTATTAAAGGAATTATCTCTAGACTTAGATATTGACCCATTGTCTCTTCCTGAAATGCACGAGCATATGATACGTAGTCCACCACCTACGAGTTGGCCAAAGTCTCCAAATTTTAAAGTTTTTCAATTTCCTCATGGAGAGGAGGAAACAATCTCAATCGAAGTTAATGTAAGTACAATCTTTTTAATCACAGAATAAAAGATATAGTACATATTCCTAAGCAGAATTAATAATAATTGTGACAGTATTAGTGAGTTGGTGGTTTGCACTTCTAGATTTCTTAATATTTAGATAGTGTTACTACTAGTATACAGTGAAAGGCAAATAGAACAATCATATAAAAAAAATTTTTAGATGTTGATAAATATCAATATGGGTAATCTCTGCATCGTCCGAAACTCTACTTATGTCCTAGATGTTCTTCGGTCAGTTCCCAAGCTACATTTTGTCATTTACAGAGAGGCAAGAACTACCTCATATCGTAATTAAGCTAGGTTCATGATGAAACATTGATTGCTTTAAATAATAAATATTTTCCATGTGATGTGTACTTTTTACTTGTCACTAAATACTTGTTTTATATTTTCTCTTTAAAGATTGCAAGAAAACTTTCCAATAAAGAACCCGTATTATTTCTATAACATACAGTCTTACATGTTTTTCAATAACATATTTTGAAGACCCTTGTAATTTTTTAGTTCTGGACATAAAATTTATTAACTTTTATTTTATTAAATTATTTTCACAACTTTAAACTTAGTGATTTTCTTTTGTCGTTTAGCACTAGTGGTTAGTGGAATCAAATTAGGGGTTGTCTGCTGTGAGATTTCGGAAAGGGTTCCATATATTGTTACCGTCGTTTTAATGACAATTTCACTTTTTTGGAAAACGTGCAGTTTATGTTAAAGTTTTATGGGTCGAATTGTTTATTTATTATTTTTAAATAAATATCCTAATATATCGCATCCCACACACCGATTTTCACATATATGTTGTATCCTATATATTAAGGATAAATTAACATTAGTGATGTGACAGTCGATTAGTTTTAAGTTAATTTTAACAAAATACTTAAAAAAAAAATTGAGCAAGAAGGTATGAAAATATATATTTTTAAAATAATTATACAATTTATTTAAATGTTTTTTTTGCTTCAATTATTATTACTTGTATATTTAATGTAATTTAATTAGCGTAATAAATAAAAATTAACTTATTTTTTTTTATTACAAGAAGGTTTTATGGTCTGAAAAATTTTCTCAGCATATTTTTTTTAATAATAAACTTGTAGATACAAAATTTTCATTTGTCTTATAGTTACTTTATAATGTTTGAAATATGGAATGTTATCAAATTAAAATTTGAATAGATAGAACTGAGTACAGAAAAAATAATAATTTTGTGAATTACGACGCAGTTGATTAAAAAAAAAGAATTTGTATAAAAAGTACAGTGTGCCCTAGATGATGTACCACAGTATTGAAACATTTTTTTATTGCTAATTTTTCAAGGAAATATTATTCTTGATGAAAAATTCTGTTTATGATAAAAATACAGGGCGTTCAAAAAATTAGAAAATGTCAAACTTGTCTTATGAAAAGTGTCCTTCTTTTTTATTTTTGTTGAAAATTTTTACAATTTGTTTGAAAATGGAATGGATGTTTACATACGGAGCTTAAAAGACAACAAAAATCATTTTTCACAAAAAAAAAAACAAGATTACAGGTCTTCCAGTGAGATCAGTTAGATCAGGTTTTGTCATTTTTGAAAGAGCAATCATTAAAGTTAGGTTTTTTCGAAGGATATTGTCACAAAATCACTTTTAGGTCACTTTTTTTTCAAGTAACAGTGTAGCTGAAGAGCTGTTTTAGGGAGGATATCTGATAGTTGAAATTATGTACCTATTGTTGGTAGTAAAAATAAGAATTACATGGATTTTATAAGAATGTTGCCATCTAGTATTTTCAGTACTATGTTTGACTGGGTGTGTAACTCATTATTATTATTTTTCATATTTATAAATCAGTTGTTTTAATATTTTTGGCTAGGAATTTGCTGCAAAGTTTCTTGTAGCTAAATTAAAATCCCCTATATTTTTTAGGCCAAAGATTCAAAGACTTCTGAATTGAAACCAAAACATTCTAGCTGGGATGGAACAGATACATCTCCTCTAAGATCTCTTCCTAAGCCTCATTTCCATCAAGATAGATTTTCGTTACTTACACCAGGTACACTTCGGCCATCAGGCGAAGACAGTATTCGCTTGATGGCAGAAGACTAAGATTATTCCTTTAAATTTACAAACATTCCAAAAGTGGTGATATAATTGTACTGTCTAGTCAAGTAGTTCAATGTACTTTAAATTTAAAGTACAGGATCTGTTATGGTAAATATTTACCAATGTAAGTTTCTAATATTATTTCATGTTGAATGTTGTTATTTTTTCTAACATAGGTACGGTTTAATTTTATTATTTTTTTTTGTTTTAAGTGTAAGTCTAGTAAGTTAGTTGCTAGATGAGAGAATATAGTATTCTTATATGTTTGGTTGCTTTTACTTAATTTCAATTAGATATTTTTCTTCAATTTAGGCAAGCTACAAATGACCAGGGAGTTTTGAGTGCCTGATTTAATTGTGTTGCTTTCAGTAGAAAGGGATTAAGTATATTAAAGAGGTTCCGTCCAAAGACTAATAATTTTACATTAAACTGATTATAAATAATCATGTCATATTCATATTTTCCATTATATTTAAACTATTTATTTTTTTTGCTTTTCTTTTATATTTTATTTGTTTATTTATTTATTTATCTTTTTTTAAATATTGTTTATCTTCATACAATACATTAATATATTGTTTGCACAGTTATCTAAGTCTCAAATTGAGATTATGATTTATTTGTAATCAGATTTATAAAATTTACGGGGTAAGACTAATTAATCAAAATTGAGTCAGGCACTTTTATTACATTTTTTTTAGTTTTAGTTGCTCTCATTTTTTTTAGATGTGAAAAGTTATAATCATATAAATTCAGCAACAAGAGAAAGTAATTCATATGTGTAAGAATCTTCATTATTTTAATTTAGGACAAATATAATACCATGTCCTCATGTATAGGTGTCCTGTAATGGAGGTCTAATATATTTTTTTTAAAAGACCCTAAATGCACATATTTGAAAACTATCACCAAAATTGCGAAAGCTAAAAATTAACTGCAAAAATAGTCTAAACAGTTTGCGCAAAAGTGTAGATAACTTATTTTTTGTGATGTTAATTCAAAAAATATTAATACAAAAATAAAAAATTGAAATAAAATTGTTACAGGAGTATTTTGAGGGATGTAGAGTCTAAAAGAATTTCTAATATAACCTTTCAAATGTTGGCATCTAAAAAACTCAGGTATTTTGAAAAAATTATAGTTTCCGAATATGCAATTTTTAAGGTCTATTGTTTCAACTTCATTTGTTATTTTTTACATCTGTTGATTGCTTATTATATCTATAAACCAGGACACCCAGTGTAAATAAAATAGCTTTTTGGCAAATCAGTACCTATATCAACACATTATTTTAATGTTTTTTTTTAATTAGCCATTTTTAAAAATGAATAACTTCCTCATCTGCTACTAATAAAAAATTAGGAGATATATTTGAGAGTACGGACCCTGACATATTTGAATTTAGGGATACATCTACGGAATCCATTAAAAACCATTCTTAATATGGAACTACATAGTTGCTATATATAACTACATTTATATAATATTTTTTTACGAGATTTCTTTATGTGCCATAGATGTAGGATGTAAAACATTTGAGGAAAAATTAATTAGTGTCTTAATTAATTATTTTTTTTTTTATCAAATAAAATAACACTAAGATCTCTAAGATAAATTTATTTATTCAATATAGAACCTGTAACATAGAGATGGGTATAAAACTTAAGAGCACTCATTTGTCTATAGCAATGTTGCTTAAATCTTTTCAAATATCTTTAATATTTTTATAATTTTGTTCTTCACAATTTTCGATTTTTGTCTTGGGGACTTTCAAGGAGTCTTTCGGTTCTGATAAAAACCAGTTATTTTATGCATGCCATTTATTCACTCATAATAGTGAAGCTACTTTTTCATTTAATGATTGTAAAATAACGGTAAAAATAATTGTCAATCAAACCTAAATTCAATTCAATAATTGTAAGTGTCAAATTAAATGTCAAATATAGGAGATGGCAAACAATTGATTTTTTAGTTCACTCAGCTAAAAAATGGTTTAATTATTACACTTGGATAAATGTGCGTAAATGAATTGCTTCTTGTTTGAAAAAAAATTTGAGGCGAAATTTTTAAATGTGTGTAAAATGTAAACAAAAAAATTAGTAAATGCTTGTATCTCAAAAACTAACGAACATTGCATATATGCAAATGGGGTTGAAATGATTATTTCATTTCAAGCTTGCACCCTTAAGTTTTGTTCTCATCGTTATATTACAAATATACATATTTTCTTAAAATATTAACATAAATATAGGTAATTTCTTATCCACATTCCAATTTGCTAATTCTCTGAATTTTTCTGCAATGAGAAATGAAATCTATGTCTATTTTGTTGAAAAGACAAGATATTTGCTCTTTTTCGTTTTTTTCGATATGTTAGTAGTAAGGTATACTCTGATATTAATGTTTAAAACCAAATTATGTTTCTCCCCATAAACTGTGATAAAGCCAAAGTCTTTATATTCCGTATTCCAAGCTTATATTTAGTATTTGTTAAATGAGTGTTTATTATTGCATATCTTAGTTCAAGGCAAAAAGTGCCCAATAAAAAGTGACGTGTGTTTGATGTGTGATTTGGCAAAATAAAATCCAAACATATGAGTCGATGATCACTGTGATAACATGGTACTCTATCCTTTCAAGGAATGTATGTTTACTTTATTTTATTTTTTAAGATGTGTGATAGGCAGGTACTTGTAAATCGTGTCTCAGATCATGTCACTTCACTTGAATAGGTGGAATGTTATCAACTCCTAAAGTTTAGTCTGTTTGCTTAGTTTACTTAACAGATATGTGAAAACTAAAATAATTTGTTTATCTTTTGCGATCTCATAAGTATCTAGTAGCACAAAATTGGTCCTGTGGGAACCTTGTAAAAAAAGATGAGGTCTGTGTGGATCTCATTGAAGCGAAGAATTTTTTTTGCATATGTTTTACTTTTCCCCAAAAGAATCAATATTTTCAAATGACACTCATCTATCGCACATCAGGAAATCTTCAACATATCTCATTTCTCTGAACTTGGTACACTATTTAGCTGAAAACTTTAACTTATGTCTAACATATCATGAAAAAATATATTGAAATCTAAAAAATGTATTTTTTAAAGCGATATATGTATAATTTCATAACAATGCTGCATACAAAAAGGAATATTTATAGACAGAAAAACAAAATTAGGCATGAGAGAAGGATGATTAGATTTCCAATAGAGATTAAGTAAAATGCAACTATAGTTTCTGAAATGTAATTAATGTTTTATGTTCCTACTTTGAAGCTTTTACATGTAAGATTGTGGAAAGTATAGAGTAGATCAAGTACTTATATAAGAATTGTAGATTTGTATATTAATATACTCAGTTAAGTAGGGAATTATGATTATTTTCCAATTCTACAAAATTGTGGAAGTTAACTCGGGTCTGAAGCATTGAAATTGTGTTGCTGGGTTAAGTTTTTGTTTTTTTTGTTGAAGTTATTGATGTTAGTAAAACTCTAAAGGTTAATATTTAAACCTTAACTATATAGTTTGTGGTTTATAAAAATTTTTTATAAAGCATTGATTTTTCCAAATTTTATTTACACAAATTAATCATGTTATTACATTACTTAGTACTTTATCAAACATTTTTTTCACAATACTTTGATATGATGTTAACTATATTAAGATATCTAAAAATATTAGAAATCAATTAAAAACTTTATTTATTGAATAGTGTTGCTTTTTAAAAGCGACCCTATAGAAATTCGTAATTAAGAATTAAAATCACAGAGAGTTTTGCAGGTGTATAGTTATATTTATGTATATGTGTATAGTTATATTTTAAATTGTTCAGAATACATCGTTTAGGGTAAAACTGATGGCTGCTTTTAATTTTTCCCATTTTAACACAACAACGTGTCAAAGATGAAGGAAATGTTTTCCCCATAGAAACATTATTTTATATAAATATTTACCGTTGATACTCATCTTTTTGAGGTACAAAGTGTTAAAGTAAAAAAAAATCTTCAAATATCTTGTGATCAAGAAAATATTTAATCAATTTTTTTTTAATGAAGAGTATAAATAAAATTATGTGTAACATGAGACAATTAAGTCTTTACTTAAACCAAAGCCTAGGGTATGGCATATGCTGATTGAATTTTCCTCAACATTTTGCCACGTCAGTGGAAAAAATTTGCTCTGTTGAAATGCAAATTTTATTTTGATTGAAATTGATCTCTTGATTTTTTACAGTTTTAGTACGAATTAGCAAAATGTAAATGGGCATGTTTAGATAAATTTGGAATTATTTAAAGTAGTATTAATACTGAGTATTAATTACACTGAGTATTAATATACATTTCAATATGTCTTCTCATTTTATTCATGGTATTGTGTAACTATAATTTTGTTTCAATATCTGCATTTTTTCAGAAGATATTGAGATATTAAACTTTTTTTAAACTTTAACATTTTGTATCTCGAAAATGAGTATGAAATTATGAAACAATTTGGAATGGATAGAGACAACAAAGTCTACATTTTATTTACACAAAGGTTGCCTGTTCTCCATGACTGGGTGACTTAAGTGGGTGAATTATATAAAACAGACAAAACTCATAAAAATATTCTTAACTGCACAGCTGTATTTTTTTAACGGCAAAATAGCACAGCTGGTGTGATGAAATTGAAGTTATTAAAATTCTTGTCTGTGATTGGTGGGTGTTAGAAGATACATATATGCAATAGTATATGATTTATCTTCTTACGTCAATGGAAAATATTCTTATTGTCACGATTTGAATATAAAAAAACTCAAAACATAATTGTTTAATCTCTCACCAGACAATGATTAAAATTGGTAGGAAATAACATTTTCTACTACACTCTTTAGATAAATTTTATTCCAAAATTTTGTTATATGAGGTATTAAAATGTTAATGTCAATATTTCAATTAAAAGGTAGGACATTATGGTAATATTTAAAAAGCCAAATGTTTATTTTATTCATTAACGACATCTTTGTCTTTAACATTCTTAAAGCAATTCTACACTTTTTAAATATATTTTTTTTTTTAAGTTTTAGTGTTTTTACTTTTTA